GAAATGGCAAAATAACTAAACAATCAATAAATAACATTTAGAATGGATATTTAGAATGGATATTATTAAAAGAACTGACACTTATGGGAAAGTGATGCACATGCAATGGAAATAATACTATTCCACAAGTGACGTTATTTTCAAACTCCTGATACGAAAAGATAACCATAATTTATTCATTAAACCTCTGAATTACATCCTTGTCAGTTGAGCTCTTTTTGCAGAATAAAAGGACATTAGCAACTAAAATGCGTTAAATTCTCAGACTTCGCCTTTTTTTCAGCGGTATACTTCTTTTTTTCCTACGGAGCTTTTATAAATTTTAAATTTTATATACTTCAGCTAAAGGTATAAAGTGACTAAAACTTTAATAGTGTGGAAATCTATCTAGTTTGATTCCTAACTTAACATGTTAAACCCATTTTGCTTGGTCTGGGACCGGTTCTTGGGGCCCACGGGAAATTAAGCAGAATGAACTTAAAATGGTTTGGCTACTTAGGTTTATTTATTTGCGTAATCGTACATTGCTCAGACGAATTATCGTTGTCACAGACTTACTAATAAACAAACCGAACTTCAATAAGACAGCGATAAAATCCAAACCTATATTTATTTTCTGCTTCTTTTCCTCTTTTGAAGTATTTTAGAGTCATTAAAGGTTTCCCCCCTCCCCCCCCTACGCTGGAAACATGAAACATGTGCAATGCGCTCGCCACGACTCCAACCTGGACCTTTCGAATACGCGCTCAGTGTGCGACCGTTACACTATGAAGGTATGCTAGAAGGACGGAGAAAACACGTTATATACGCCGCCTTTTAAAGGGCGACTGGAGATTAGGGGACACAATCGCCAAATCCTGGGATGACGAATTATTGTCCATCACCACTTTATACTTCGGGCGCCGGTGTAAAGAAATTAGGTTATTTTGAAGCGGAAGATGTGAAAAATGTGCAGTGTCCTCTCCGGGACTTGAACCTAGACTTCTCGAATACGCGTCGAGTGTGCTACCGTTACACCACGAAGACATGCAGAAAGGAGGAAGAAAATACCATATAGTATAATTTAAAATTACAAAATTATCCATCATTATTTGCAAGGCTTCAAATTATTACAAGCATTTAAGGAATTAGAACACAATCAAAATTATTCTCATTAATTCTCGGCTTCACTATAATTGCATAATGATATCCTGTAATGAAATAAATCAAATCAGCTTCCAATTCTAAATCGGACAATTCGTTATAGTTAACGCGCAGAATACGGAATTAATATGACTTTGCTAATTCACTTTCACTATACACTGATTGCATTTGCTATTCAGACTCAATCTTTCCTCCTTCTAGTGAAGGGTGAAGGAAAAACTGAAATAACAGAAAACAGTTAATGTGAAATACCTAGTTAGGAAAATAAATCTTACAAACTGTAAATAGAACATCTGCATCCAGAAAGAAGTTTAAACTTTATCAAAAGGCATTTAACAATCTTTAGCGAATATCAAGAGGCATTTAACAATTTAATTAATTTAATAGTTGAAACACACTATGTACACTCTGCCAAAAAAAGGGGGGGAAGTTCTGTGTCACCCATTCGACTGGGCCGAATTTGTGTTTAATAAATTCAGAAATCTTTCTTGGAGCACTTTTCTTAGTTCGCGACAAGAATAAACCTATTTTCCTTTTCCTTTCATTGCGCACGAGCAGAAAAAAAAGTGCATTGTTCGTTCATTGTTTCAAATAATTTTAACAAAGTGCATAAATCAGATTTAGCGATATTATCGCTTATAACAAATATGCCAAATTTCAAAACGCACCAATATATAAACTCACGTATATATTGAAACATTTTAAATAAGAGACACTAATTTTTTGCAGGTATGCCTAGAAATACATTTACTTTAAGGTGGAGGTAAAATTTTTATAGGCTATAATTCCAAAATGCTTTCGAAAAATATTGTTGGAGAACCCCTTCACGAATCTTCTGTAATAAGTACAGAGTCCCAGGAAGTTCCGTAATTGATGAATATCCACAGGACGTTCCCAGTCCTGAACTACCGACACCTTTTCTGGACCTATGCGGACACCTTCGGCAGAGATGACGTGCCCGAGATAGGTAATTTCACTGGGGAACAACTTGCATTTCGAAGGACTCAGTTTAAGGTTGGCATCTCTCAATTTCTGGATAACCTTCCTGATATTTTCTAGATGTTCCTCGAAAGTACGGATCACTGTAATGATGTCGTCTAGGTAGACCAGACAGGATTCGTAAGATAAACCACGAAGCACTGTCTCCATCAGGCGTTCAAAATGTCGCAGGGGCGTTACAGAGCATTTAAGGAATTAGGCAAAACTTTAAACTGCCAGAGTCCTTGACCGGTAGTGAACGCAGTTTTCTCTCTATCGTCGGGATGAATTTCCACTTGCCAGTATCTACTCTTGAGGTCCAGAGTGGAAAACCACTTATGTCCTGATAAGGTGTCTAGAGTATCGTCAATCCTGGGAAGAGGGTAACTTTCTTTCTTAGTGGCATTATTTAGTCTCCGGTAGTCGACACAAAATCTTGTCGAGCCATCTTTTTTCCGGACGAGAACTATAGGAGATGCCCATGGACTTGTGAATGGTTCGATGATATCTAGTTTCTGTGTAAAGTTTGTATGTAGTGTAAATGTTTGCTTCTTTAGTTATATTATCTATATGTTTTAAAACGTTTCGATTGTATCGAATTTGGCTTGGTCCCGGACCCATTTTGACCAAGGGTTGTACAGCCCGGGACGTGCAGTCCTTGGGAGGGGGCAGTGCCATTTTATGGCAACCCTAAAACTGCTTTGCGGGGAAGCCATCTCACCGCGCCTTGACATTTCGTAACACTGCCCCCTCTCAAGGACTGCATGTCCCGGGCAGTACAATCCTTGGTCAGAAGCCAAATTCGATACAATCGAAACTTTTTAAAACATACATATAACATAACTAAAAAAACATGCAGATAACATTTACACTACATGCAAACTTTGCACAGAAACTAGGTAAGAAAACACATCCACAAGTCCATGGGCATCTCCAATTTTATCGCCAAATGGGCGATTTCTCGCCACATATGACAACCCTGCCTTCTTTTGCCATTTTATGGCAACCCTAAAACTGCTTTTCGGGGAAGCCATCTCACCGCGCCTTGACATTTCGTAACAATATATAAAAATTTCTAAAAAATAGATTTTTAAAACCAGGAAATCAGAAAATATCCGTGAATTTTATTTAGATTGAAGCTAGATTTCGAGTTTTGGAAGAAGGAATCAATTAAGTTTAATAAAAAAAGCTATTGTAGAGACATTAGGTTATTTGGAAGCGGGAGAGATGAAAAATGATCAATGTCTTTGCCGGTACTAGAACCACGAACCTCTCGAATACTCGTTTAACGTACTGACTACTACACCACGAAGACATGCTAAAAAGGTGAGCAAAATGCCTTATACTATTATTAAATATATACTAAATTCAATTAACCATGAGGAACTAAAATTTTGAGAGCTAACAATTTAAAAACTACTTGTATAATTTTTACAAATCTTTGCACTTTCGCATAATTTCATTCGTAGAATCAAAATAAAGGGAAAAAATAGGCATAACATTTCAAAAAAGCTCGATTTTATGTCGGAGTAACAAAGTTAGAACAGCGCTATCTAAAAATCTAATATACAGGGTGTTTATAAAGTCCCGGACCTATTTTCATGTTTAATAACTCATAAAATAATAAAGATAGATTAAAATTAATAACATAAATGGTTAGATAGACTCAAAAGTTTCATGACCCTTATCAATGAACTTCCACGTGTGCCCCCTTCATCGCACGGAGAATATCATGTCGATATTCAATTTCACGCCAGGTACCGGCAAGCATGTCTGCATCCGCAGAGGCTATTGCGGTTGTAATTCTGGCATAAATTCTGGAATAAAATACTCTTACATCCTGTAAACGTTTTCCTTTACAAATCCCCAAAGGAAAAAAGTAACATAACATTGCAATAGTTGCCAAAAACAAAGATAGAATAAATGTGCAATTAATAAGCAGACGATATTTAAAAAAGTACAGATATTTAGACTGAAAAATGAAATTATCTGAAATTAACATGCGCGCAGACGATATTTACAAAAGTAAAGATATTCAAACCTAAAAAGGAAAATATATAAGTTATTCCATCAATAAATGCCATAAATTTGTTTATGTCTTCATTATTTTGTGAGTTATTAAACATCAAAATGTGTCCGGGACTTTATAAACACCCTGTATATCGTAAGTTGCGCTTTCGAGACATGAAAAACTCAGGTTAAATTTCGTCAAACCGCCCAGTAAAATGGAAGATATAGAACTGTTCCTTTTTCTTTTCCAAGGTGTACATCCTCCAGCTTCCGTAATAAAATATGCTTACACTTTAGGCTACTAACATACTCTTTTCAAATTCAGCAAATTTACTAATTAATTGCAAATATTCATCAATGAAGATGGTGGCGTAATCTAAATTACTGAAAAATTCTTTATATTTTACAGCAGCAGCTTTTAGCCGTTCTAAATATTAAAAAAAAAGTATTTAATAAGCTGATATAATCCATGGTGGTACATAATGTTACAACGACCCTTTCAAGTTCTAAAAAAACGCGGACGTCATAAGAGTGGTCGCGATAACAAAAAGGGGATTGAATATATTCTCACCAGTGAGAATAGTTTTGAACTGTCAATTTAATCGAAGACTAGCTATAATGAGTGATCGTTATAACAAACATCAGTTTTATCATCAGATATTCCTAATACATTCGTTAAGATTTTGGATTTATTCTTATTATTTTTCAAAGCAATTTGCATGCGTAAAACAGAAATGTGAAAGGTCCTTAAAATTTTTCAGTGTTGTAGCTTTCTTAAAGGAATATTTATCTTTTCTTTCTTTAAGTTTTATGACCTAATATGCTGATAGTGGATAAGTTTCCTATAATTTGCTTTTTTTTTTCAGCAGCCTAACGTCTTAAAAGACAACAATAGCAACGACCCTGGCATCACAAGGGATCACGTGTCCTCATCGAGAGAACCTGGGCAAGGAATGCCCATTGAAGATCGTCGGGCAGCTGCTCTCTCTCTCTTTGGTTGGCTAAAGAGGCCACAGCCAATTATACCGCCTAATTACAACAGACAAAGACTGTCAAAGAATATAGACAAAGTTTCGAAGATTCTCTTCCCATTATCATTTGGATTGTTCGTGGCGGCCTATTTCCTAACATACGCTGTCATCAAACCGACTCACAAAGAAAATTGGGAGCTGTTGAGCAACGGGTATACGAACTAAATTCGATACTGACAGAGTGAGGCCTTCAAAAGAAATGAAATCAGGGATAGGATAACTATTGCCAATCTTCAATATAAAAAGCCGTGGAGAAGACTACTTGATGTGCCATCGTCTGCGATTTGCTAATAAAAGCAAAACTTTGAAAAAAAAAGTGCATCTTTTTTATCAGCCATCCCCAAGGCAAAGTCAATGATTTCGTACTTCAGGTTTTCGGAAGATTTTCACTAAATTTTTGGAAATGTGATTGCACAATAGATTGACCAAGAGAGAAAAGAATTTGTTTGCTATGGACTTTAAAATCAGTAAAGCAAAGAGAATATAGATTCTTTTTTCATTTCACCATTTTCATGCGTTCCTCCAATTTCATTTTCTCTCCGAAATCTTCTTTTATTTGTTTATGAAATTTTAACTATGTTTCAAAAATTGAAGTTTAGTTTATTCTCAACTAAAAATGGCTTTACAAATTGTTTATTATGTAATTTAAATTTAAATCCGGTAACCTTTTCAAAAATATCTAAATGGAAAGTTTTCTTTGAAAAATTATTGCTAAACTTTCAAAGATTCTAACATTATTAAATGTTTTAACTAATATTATATTTTTACTTCATTAAATATCTCACCAATATCTCCCATTAAGCGATTTCACAAAACTGCAATTCGAATGTTAATTTAATTGCATGCTGTTTCTGAATGTCTCAAGTTGGAAAACGCTTAATCGTTACAAGCTTGTATTCTAAAGATAAAATATACCAAAAAAATGGCACTGTCCAGTGTTATTAGTTTCTTGTCATCACGCCGCTTCAAGAAATGAATAGAAGGAAATAACTATTAAAGAAAGCTAAAAAGAAAATAGTTTTTCCCCATCCTCGAGTATGTAAAATTGTAATAAAATATGCAGAAAGTGATTTCGAAGTGCATTATTTAAAAAATGAAGAGCAAAATTTCTAGTAAATTTAAAGAGATTACACTTTTGAACATCAAGGAATTATAAATCTTCTAGATTTCAAACAGTAGTAGACATTTTTTTCCGATTTCTACTCATTGGTATCATTAGAATCTAAGAACATCTCCAAAGCTGTAGTTTTCATTATAATGTGTCTTATTTAACAAAAGCCAAATTTCTTGCCGTGAAACTTTATATTCTGGAATATAAAATTTCAGCATTTATAAGTGAACTAAATACTATACTTTTCCATGCATTACTCAAGAAATTTAACAGCCGAAAAAGAGCTCTATTATTATTTAAACGGTAAAACAAATTTAATATTTCTACTTCTACTACAGATATCCTGCCAAATCTTTAAACTATTTACATGCTGCCTACGAGTATCCTGAAGAATTTAATAGGTAATAATTTTTAGGAAAGAATAAATCCAAAGAATAACATTTTGTAGACTATTAATTCATTTTATATCGTTTATTTAAGTAATTTCTTGTAATATTTTTCTAAGGCCACCGAGCTGGGATATATAATTTAATAATATATTTTAAATTATTTATTTTGCTATGGTTACAAAAACTGTACATAAAAAAAGCATAAATTAAGGTACTTATAAACGGAAAATATTACACAACTTTAAGTAATCACTTATGGATTATTGAAACAACTCATTAAAAAATTTGCTTTCTATAACAAAACAGAAGCAGAGCTTAAATGTAGCTGGAGTTCGGCACCGGCAATGGTTAATTTTTTTGTCAAATCCATAATTCAAACAGGAAGCCCAGAAAAGGTGAGCTTTGTTATTTTTATTTATCATTTCATTATTTTCCGTTAATTTAATTTATTATTTTCTGTCTCTTCATAATTTATTTAATTATTTTTTATTTCTTTGTAATTTATTTAAATTTTTATCATTCATTTATTTACTTTTATTGACCTTTCCTGAAGCTTTCCAGAAGGTTCTGCCTTTCAAATTTCAGAAATTAAGCCCTGAATAAAACAATAGCATGATTACTTAGAATTGTAGTGTGATGCAATTTTCAGAGGGGAGGAAACTAGAATCATTCTTTTTTGGTCTCTGCAAAGCTTTCTAACATTTCAGCAAACTTTCGTCCTTTGTAACATAACGCGACCAAGTATAAAGCAGTTTATAGTTAATTAGAGAAAGAATTATGCATATCATTGCTTCTTCTAACGTCATGGAAATAGATTCGGTCTAATCTAGATAATATACGATTTATAAGGCATTCAGAAGTATCTGCGTGTCTTAAAATGAAGCCTCATTCCTTACATGTTTTTTACTAATCACCGAGAATAAAACTTTGTTATAGGATACAATTTGCGTTTTTAATTGAGATTCAAATTTTAATCTTATTTAAACGTCCGAGTTTATATGCGTTAAAATTCTCTTTCATTCTGAAAATTCCATTGCTAAACACAGTACTAGGAAGAGAATGAAGTTATTCTTAAATTTTTAGTTGATGCTTACGGAATATTTTAAATTACGAGTATTAAATGAAATCAACATCCGCAACTCAACGCCATCTATCGGTAATTTTGAAAAGCTGTCTTTGAAGCTATGTAATTCATGTAAAACGACGAAGGATATTTAAAATGTAATTAATATTAAAGCTTAAATTATTGTTATACTTGCTGAAGGCAAGTAACTTACTTATTTGCGGTTTAATATATTATTCGAACGAAATTAAAACGCAAAAATATGAAAGGGAATTTAAGTGTAAAAACAGTCTGTGGACTGTGTCATCAGTCATTGTAGGTGAGTCAACGAATAGCTTCAATAAATTAATTATGATATTCTCAGTTTACCTTTCAAACCGATGAAGTCTTTGGTGTCTTTTTACGGACTGTTTGAAAAAATTTTAAATCAGTTTGAAAATTTTAAAATGGGTATAGTCCTTCTGATTTTTGTCCATTTTTTTATATTATTATACTTATTCTTATTATTTTTTACTTTAATTTTTACTGTAGCTGGAAATCTTGATTTTTAACTTATCTTAATTAAATTTAACGTTTTAAAGTAATTACTTGAAATTGAAGCTATATTGGCAAGACGTAATTTGATCACATTGTTTGATAAGTCGTGAAGAAATATTATTAAGATAAGAAGAATATTTATGCGAAGATGCTGTATAACAATGTTACGTTTTAAATAGCTTCTAAGAAATGTATTCGATCAGTTAGATGCTTATGAATAGCCGTAAATGTCAATCGTTTCCTGTTTGATCACTTGTTTAAATTTATGCACTATAAGTTGTTTTTGATTTTAAAATCTCCGTAATTATTTTTAAATTGTGATATATGTACATTTATTTTGTGTGATAATATTACCTTCTTTGCATTTATAACCAAACAAATTTGTACCGAAATGTATCCACAGTAATAATCGTTTAATTATATATCAATAAAAGAAGTATGCTTCCAAATTTTTATATAATATATGCAAATTAAAACTTTTATTCTAAAAGTAATTTCTCTTGATAAAGAATATAATTTCAAGCATATAATAACCAAATAATTAATGTGAATAAAATCGAAATATGTTTAAAATTTTTGTGGATTTATTGGTTTTTCGCAAATTTTCGCCCATTTAAGTGGCTTATGTATAAAATAAAATGCTTCGCCTTATGTAACTTTAACACTGTAAAGGAAAAGCAATCTAATATAAAAAACAATTACGAAGTAAATTTTTAAATTTCATTACAGTTATAATGTGTTTCAAAAATTTGACCACTTTCCTATAATCCGCACTCTACAAAGGCATCTGTGCTTTTAACTTAATATCAGCCTCACATGTGCATTTAAAGATATCTCATTTCTAGTTAATGTAGTTTACTGCATCCATTCCATACCTGTGTGAAAATTTTCTATCATATTTGTATATACATATATATATCATATTTTTCCTCACGATGTGTAATCGTACAGCAATGGTTCTTTGTTCAGAATAATAGCATCTATATATAAATATATATTACATACATATAAAGAAAAATATGCATGCTAAACGAAGCGTGTATATATATTGAGCAATTAGCGTGAAAAAGAAGTATTTTGCCTATCTCAGTGAAGAGTATCTATAAGTTTTGAATTTTTCCTGAAGAACATTGTAATCACGCATATTTAAATATAATTATTGTACCTGCTTCCAGAATTAAAATCTCTTATTCATCTATGTCGTTGTTGATGTTATTTGTGATTATATATATATATATATATATATATTTTCAATTCCCACTTCTCTAATACTTGCAATTTTAATATACTTTCACTTTTTATAACATTTCATAGTTAGGTCTCCTTTAATATAATATTCTAAATTCCGCTCTTGAATGGTAGGAAAATATAATTAAAGAATGCTTCATGAAAGGATTAAAGTTACGAGCAATTTTCCTGCTGTGTTAATATCATAAATATTTATTTTATAGATATTTAACCTAAAAAGATTTGTAAGTCTATATTGTTCTTAAAAATCCTAATTTAACTAGATACGCATTAAATTAAAGCTGCTCCGCATGGAAAATATCGCACAAAAAAGGGAAAATATTGAGTGTTTTACTTCGTTATTCCAAAATTCTTTATTTTAAACACCTTTTACAGAAAGCATCTGTAAAATCATATTGTTCTTAAAATATTAATTTGAATAGAAATACACCACACTGACAGTTAGTGCACATGTAAAATATCAAAAAAATAATGAGGTATATTTCTCATTCAATCAATTCAGTTTTTACTTCGCAGTGAGGCACAAATACATAAAGACTCAAACTATCTTCATTAAAAATTGTAAAATACAGAAAACCCAAAAACACCAAATATAGTTTAAAATGGTTAAAAAAATACAATTTTACAATTGAAATTAGAGTTTTTGCACAAAAATAAGCAACTCAGCTAGCGGGCAGGAAGACAAAATATTCGGTATACAAAGTTGAAAGTTAGCATTTAGCCCCACTGGGCAGGTGACAGGTGACGGAGGACGGGGACGCCTGAAGTTTAACAGAGGTTAACAGGCATATGTCCCGCGTCCTCCCCTGGAGTTTATTTATTAATTAAAAGTGTGGATACATGGCCATACAGGGGCAACTGTTGAACATCTGGCATTTGAAGTACATTTGAATTAACTTGCTGATACAGGCACGGTTTAAAAAAAAAAAAAAAGAAAAGAAAAAAGAAAAAAGGGGAAAAACACTTAATAGGTTATAACAAAAGAAGAAAATTAAACACCTAAACATATAACATAAAACACGTAATAAATACGAGCACATAACACTTAGGATCACATGACATAAATCACTTAAAAACACATAGGGCATACATAGGGCACAGTATCATTAAATATGTTTACAATTACGGTACAGATAAGCATGGATTATAAAACAAAGGAACATAGGGAATGGTACTTATATTACAGGTTCATTTCATGACAATAATGCTTAGAAGATTGATGATGTTAACTGAAATAAACAAGGTTTAATAAAAACACAATATAATGTGCATACTAAGAGTGTGCATTGTGAATTGTACATATGGCCTAGTACAAGTACGCAACTTATGTAGAAGCATAAGGCATGGTACATAGGGCATGATACAAGGACAAAATATTGTTATATGGTACAATTAAATATTACTCTTGTATGTTACAGTTAAATGAAATTTGCACATGTTGGAGTATGGAAGACACATGCTGAAGTGATACAATACAGAGTGCATGTTGTAGATTGAGCAGTGGATGGAGTGCAATTACATTACAATTATTATTGTACAGTTACATTACATTACGGGTGGTACATTCCATTACAGGTAGTACAGTTGGTGCAGTTTCATTACATTACAGTTGGCCTTCATTATAAAGTATAGTACAATTGCTTACTATTACAATACGTACATTGCTCCCTATGCAGTCAGATTAGATGGTAGAGCATAGAGTGCATATCAGTGCAAGTAATGCATGTAAGCCCTATTACTCTGGTTGACAGAGGTCCTGGCCATATGCTGCAATGGTGGTTATTATTTTGCAGATTTTATTTATGGCCGCTCTGTTTTTGGCTAGGAACTTGTGAAATGCTGAGATATTGGCTGGTATCGGGAAGTGGAACTGTTCCGTGAGTGGGCACTGAAAGATATAATGGTCCGGTGACCCCTCACCCCCGCAAACACAGCGATCCGTGGTTGAGATGGTGCGGCGGTAGAAGTAATCCGGGAAGGGACCATGACCAGTAATGAAGTTGGTAAGGGGAGCAATTGCCATAAGGCGCTCCGTGGTTACTTTTGGCAAGAAGCTATGCGCTCTCCTTCCCGTGTCGCCCTGATCCCATTCTCTTTGCCACCACTGGATAGCGGCATTTCGCAGTTGACTTTTGAGGAAAGATGGTGGTGCTGATACTGATATCGGTCTGGCATTTTGGTTCGAAGCAGCCTCTTTAGCGAGTTCATCCGCTGTCTCATTACCCATGTTACCTGCATGGGCTTTAATCCATACTAGGTCAACATGTGCGTGCCGATTATCTTTTAGGATATGCTGCAGTCGTATGATCAGCGGGGAGGCGTGACTATGTTTGTCAAGAGCAAGCAGTGTCGACATACTGTCTGTATAAAGCTGCACATGTGTGATGTTGTTGAGCGCCACGTATTCAATGGCAGCTGTTATGGCAACTACTTCTGCTTGAAAAATGCTATTATTTGGATTGAGGTGCCCTTTCCAATGGTGTGCAGCATGGCCTTGCCTGTAGTATATAAAGGCACTACCTACACCCCTCAGCAGTTTTCGAGCCATCTGTGTAGAACGCGTGCATATTAGGGTTTCCTTCTGGTTGACTTCGTGACGGTTTGAGGATAGTGTGAATGCCAAGTCCCTTGTGTGCTGGGTGCGTGTGGAGAGGAGTACATGGATGTTCGTAATTTGCAGGGCTATGTAAGGTGCCTGCAAAGGTTGCGTCTTTCTGTAGATGTATTATTTTAGTATATGTGGCCTCTAGCTCCGCTTGGATATGAAGTGGTATGATGCCTGCCAAGGTGAGTGCTGCATAAGTTGCAGTGGTGCGGTAGGCTCTGCATAAGCCTATGGCGAATGGGCGCTGTAGTGATAGGAGTTGCTTAACCTTGCGTGCGGTCATGGGTTGTGCCCATATAGCTGCCGCATAGAGTGCCACCTTCTCAGCTACAGTTTTATAAAGTACCTTTTGAATGTGGGGATTCCGTCCCCAGTTCCGGCCTTGGAATTGTCGTGATCTCCTGGCAATTGCAGATGTTTTAATCTTTTGTGCCTGGATATGCGGAAGCCAAGTCAGACCTGGGTCCCATATTACCCCAAGGTATCTTAAAGTTTTTACGACCTTAATATTCCGGCCTTGTAGTTTGATACATGGGCTACGTGTTGGATTTGTACCCTTTCTTGGAAAGATGATAGCAGTGGACTTTGTGGTGGATATTTTGAGTTTTAGCTCTTCGCAGAGGTTGGCAAAGATAGTGCATGACTCACTGCCATGGGCTTCAAGCTCAGCGCGTGTGCGGCCTCTGACCAGTAATGCCGCGTCGTCCGCGTATGCAACTAACACAGTATGTTGTGGCCACCTTGCCTCTAAGACTTTATTAAAGGTGAGGTTCCATAGCAGAGGCCCTGCACAGGACCCCTGTGGACATCCTCTCACTTGTGTTATTGAAACAGTACTACTGTTGTTAGAGATCATCAGTTGCCGGTCTGCCAGATAGTTGTCCAGAACTTGATAGATATTTCTTGGGCATCTTGCCTCTCTGAGGGCCTGCCTGATGGCAGGCCACCAGAGGGTATCGAACGCACTTTGCAAATCTATCGATATAAAAGCCGTCTGGTAGCCCTGCGATTTGTTCTGAATTATGACTTCATGGATTCGCTGCAGGGCATGAATGGTAGAACTGCCTTGTTTGAAGCCAAATTGTCTTGGGCTAATGCTTTGGTATTGATGTAGATGAAATTTTAGCCTGTTGACGATGAGCTTCTCGTAAATCTTTCCCATCGCCGACAGAAGGCAAATTGGCCTAAAGGAACTCGATACTAGGGGGTCTTTATCCTTTTTTAAAAAATAATACCACATTGCCTTTTTTGAAAGCTGTGGGGAATATTTTATAATGCAGAAGCTGGTTGTAGTATTTATGGAAGTAGGATGGTCGTGCCTGATATGCAACTTTGATAATTGCGTAATCGAGTCCGTCTGGACCCGGGGCCTTTTTTAGTGGCAGATACCGGAAGATATTACGTATCTCCTGTGCAGAAAACTGTATATCGTTCGGTGTGCATGGCGAGCTTGTATCTTCTCTAATTTGCCTCTGTTCTGAAGTATCTGCTTGTGTATCATCTGTGGGAAAGATAGCATTTAAAAGTTCCTTGGCGGTGGAGGCCGCTACGTCCATAGTATGTGGTGCTGTTGGTTGAACTGGTACTTGCGCTGGTTGGAAGATCTTCTGCGTTGCCAGTTTGTGTAAAATTCCATATGGATTACTGTTACTGGTGCAGAAAGATCTCCAGCTGTTAATTTTAGCTTCAAGAATTGCTTTCTTGTAGGCGGCCCTTTCTTGCCGAAAGGCCGTAAGGATGTTGGAAGCTACAATTTCGTTGGTAGCAGATCTGAGGCGGCGGCGCAGAGCTTTGCACCTCTGTTTCATCTCTCTCAGTCTTCCCGTCCACCAGGATATACCTTGGAGTTTTTTGGCGGTCCTTGTAGGGAGGATCTGCTGACATATTTGACAGAATGTGTCATGAGTAATGACAGAATGTGGTCTGTGTAATCATCCAGTTCTTGGGGAGTGGTAAGCTCTTCTAGTATGTCTTCTTCTCTGATGAGCAGCTCCTGAAAGGCATTCTTCAGTCGTCGTATCTTTCCGCCCGGTAGTTTGAATCTCTGGAGGATATTAATGCTGGCTTCAAGTGTTAGTGTGAAGTGGATGTATCGATGATCTGAGTTACTCTCATCATCTAGAACATCCCATGAGCTAAAGTTGTTGGCAAAATTAGCAGTTGAGAGTGTAAGATCAGGCCATCCTTTATGATAGGTATTGTCATAGGTTGGTTGTGCCCCTTGACTATTATGTAAATGTAGATCGTGACAGGCCATAAAGTCTTCCATGTCTCGCCCTTTAGGCGTTGTGTCTTGGTAGCCCCATATAATATTATGTGCATTGAAATCTCCTCCAACGACGTGA